AGAGAATAGAGAGGCAAAGAGGAGAAGCCTGTAGGAACCTCAGATCAGAGCCCAGGCCCCCAAGATTTTCCCCCCTGGTCTGTGGTTATTTTGCCTAGAGGCCACTGAGGGTATCAAATGGCCAGCATACAAGCAAGGAAATTGACCAAGCTGAAGGGGTTGAGGGAGGCAGAACCCACACAAGATATCAAGGCTTGTAGATAGATGGGCCATGGCAGATCCTGTGACCAGTGCCCTGGGTCCAGGGCTCCTTGTGGCTTTTCTTTTGTGGCTCATAGCCCCAGCACAGGCTTTCTTAATGAAGGAAATGGAAGTGATTGTTTTTGTTTTTAGTGCATGTTCGTGATACCTAAGACTGTTTTCATTGTGGTTATTTGGTCCATGTGCATGACACATCTTAGTTCTCTTTCACGTCCCCTTCCCTCCCATCCTTCCCCCTCCTTCCACCTCTTGGTCCCCTTTTCGTTGACAGCTTATTAACTCCTGCCTGGCTGTTTCCACTTTTTTTTTTTAGCATCATCATCACATTGTTTTAAGGAGGGACCATCTGTCCTTTGAAATACAGATTCACATAGATTTCAACCTTTCAACTATACTTTCTTTGCAAGTTCTTCTCTACATAGGGAAGGCTCTGTAATTCACTGATGGGGTGATTAGCATCCCTGGCTCTTAGCACTGGTCACTAGAATAACCACCTCTCAGGCAGTTTCATGCATGGCCAGTCATTTATGTATGTTTTGCTGCACTGGTTTCAGTGGAAGAAGTCTGAAAGGAGTCACTGCCATTAGGAAAAAAATGTTCTTTGTGAGCTGGCTTGGGTAGGAGAGGGTCACTTGAGCACAGGTTACTCCTTCCATTCTGACCTCACTGTTCCTCCCACAGCATGCAGAGCCTGCATGGCAGTATCTTTGTTAGTGGGAGTGTGGGCTGTCACCTGGTGACTGAGGGCCCCAGGGATGGAGGCCCAGAATAGGCAAAAGGGCCTCTATCCAAGGTTGCTTGGGCTCTGAGCTGCCACTTGAGTCTTGCTTTGGCTTGACCAGAAAGCCTGGTGTGTTGTAAGTAGATTAGCAAGTCTTTTATTGGAAAAGACCTGGAAAAGGCTTTCTTCCTGTGGATGGTATGGCCATCTGGGCGTATTGGTCCTGATATTGGTGAGGGCACCGAGCCAGAGCCCCGTGGCCCTTTACAGATGTCCTCCTGGCCTGGCCTGGCACAGTCACCCTCTGCTCAAGGCATGCAGCTATCTTTGTGTCTTGGGTTGGTCAGATCCGGCCAAGTCTAGGAGATTGGCTGGGCTATAGTCCTTCAGGCAGATGTGTTGTTCCTGATGGAGCCCAGTTGGAGACTGGAATAGACAGACAGTACTTACAAGGACTTCAGGACTGCATCTTCTGGGAGAAGTGGAAGTGAGCAAGGCCAGCAAGTGAAAGGAAAGAATATTTTCACTGGGTCCAGCATGAACAGCAGGGTTCTGTCCACAGACCCACACCTCCTCTGTGGGCTCAGAGCTTTCCTCAGTGGCCCCCAGAGCCACTTGGTACTGGGCTGGCCCTGCTGTTTGTACCTTAAAGTTAGGCTCTGCCTTTGTGTCCCTGATACGTGGCAGTGGCTTGCAGGTAGCAGGCATAGGTGATGGCTGGCTGAGCAAATAGGTGGAAGAAGCAGTCAGGGCAGGAAGTGGGATCCCTGCTGTGGCCAGAAGATAAAATGGCAGAGTCTGTACATCAGCCTTTGGGTCTTCTGCTTAAGGTCAGTGACATCAGCCACCAAGGAGACGGAAGCAGTGACACAATTTGGACAGTTCTCCGGGGTCTTTTTCTGCTTTAGAAGGAACAGGTGTCTGTTTGTCCCTGGATAGCTGAGGAGCACATCAAGTAGGGATCTCCTTTGTGTGGTCACAGAGCACCCCCTCTGGCCATCTGTCCTTGCATCCATCCAGTAGGTACTGTGTGCTCGTGATTGAGCCAGAGGTCAAGGTGAAGACCTGCCCTGTATGAGAGGTGGACAAAGTGCTGACTTCCTAGGAGGGAGCTGGATGGAATGTGTGTGTCGGGGTCTGAGGTCAGCTTCCCAGATGGGTTTGAGATATGTCTGTGCAGGAGGTTCAACAAGGAGGCAAGACTGGGAAGGGCAGAGAGTGGTAGTGCAAGGCAGTCACTGAGAAGGCTTCAGCCTGTCCTATGGAGAGCTCTGAGGCTGCTTTAGAAATTATTGGACCTGAGGGGCTTGGAGATATAGCTCGGCCCTGAGTTCAGTGTCTAGCACAAAACAACAAAATGAAACAACAGAATTGTTGATCTTGAGGTAGGGGGTTTGATGAGCCTTTGACACCCTCATTCCCTTGCCCTACCCCAGCTTTGCCTTGGGCAACCCAGCTCCCTTTGGCATCACTCTTGACATTTTGGGGGTTTAACCGCAGGGGAGGAAAGCAACCTTGGACGACTGCATGGCAAAGGAAGCATTTTAGTTGAGACTTGAAGAATGCATGAGATTGTGATTTCCAGGGGTAGGGTGGGAGAGGGTAGGGCACATGAACTGTAGAGCCAAGGCATGTTCAGAGGTCACTGCACGGAGTTCTCTGGGCCTCAGGTGAGGTCAGTAGGAAGTCAGTCCAGACAAGCAGACAGGGCCAAGACCCTGGAGCATTTTGCTGGGAGGACTGCGGAGCGTGTCCTTTGTAACCTGTGTGCCAGGTAGGAAGGGGACCTTCACAAGTGAGTGACCTATTCCAAGAGCTAGGCTGCAGGGCTAGTAGTCTGCTGGCTGAGTGTGGACAGGTCGCAGGCAGGGAGAGACAGGAGACAGGAAGGCAGAAAGATGGAGGAGGAAGCCCAGACCAAATGGGACAGAGAGGAGAGGGATGTGACGGAGGGGCATCTTCAGAGAAACTAGTTAGATCAGGGTGGAGGATCATGAGAGGAGCTAGGGAGTGGGGTGGGTTCTGTCACTGGGTATCTGGTGCCTGGGGACCCAGGAGGAAAGAGCTGGAGAGGAGAGCCCAGGCTGACCTTAGGGATGCAGAGGCAACAAAGTGGCCTCCAGGCAGGGCCAATCCTGCAGCAGAAGTCTCCTTGGAAAGGAGTTGAGGCTGCTGCCTGGGGAGCCCCTCACTTTTTCCGTTGCTAACCCCAGCCCCACTCCGTGTTTTCTGTTTGCTCCTGAAAGTTCCGTCAAGTCTCCAGCTCCAGCATCGTTGCTCTGCACCAACGTCATCCTAAGCACTCTACACTTGCTAACTCACTTAATGCTCTATTAGGTCCTGTTATCAACCATGGCTCACAGCTGAGACCAACAAAATGAGAGCTGAGCTGTTCTAGAGGCCGCCCAGCTTAGTTGCGGGTGGCTGACCACACGTGCTTTCCAGGGGCCAAGCAGGAGACCTTACTGCCTCTCCTGGCCACTTCGCTGGCCTCTCGCCAGCCAGTGCAGCCTCCTCCTCAGGAAGCCCTTGCACCTGCTGGCGGCCCTCCTGCAGGTCTTCCCTTGGCAAAGACCCCACTGATCTCTGAGTTTTGATCACCTCCTCCTGGCTGCTTCCTTGACTCGCCCTCCATTCGATTATTTCTCCCTTAAGACAGGAAGAAAACATCCTGAGACCCATCAAAGCTGGAAGGCAGGAATACCAGGGCCTATGAGACCAATTAGCCTGACCCCTTTGTTTTAGATGAAAAATCAGAGACCAGAGAGGTGGTGTGATTGGCCAGAACTACAGAGCAATTTAGGTATAAGGCTGAGAAGAAAAAAAGAAAGACTTCTTTTGTTTTCAGTGTTTGAAACAATTGCATTTTCAATAATAAGATCTTTAAGCCTATCATTTCCATGTACATGTAGGTCTAACTTAGAAACGACTTTATGCTAGAAGCTATCTGTGGGCATTAAACATTAATACACCTCCCTTGGATGTGTGCCACTATTGAACCCATTTTACAGAGGAGGAAACAGGCACTGAGAAGCGAAGGAGCTTGACCCAGTTTGTTCTAGGATTAAGAGGCAGAGCGGGGATCCAGACTCAGCCAATTGGTGCTGGCAATAGAGACTTAACCACTGAACTGTACAGCCCCTGCAATGATTTTGGGAAGATATTCACAAAAGTTGACATATGAAAAGAAGTACAGTATGATTTTTTGGGGGGGGGGTACCCGGGATCAAACTCAGGTCCTTGTGCTTATGAGGTAGGCGTGGTGCCACTGAGCTAAATGCCCAGCCCGATTTTGTTTTGTTTTAAAGATGAACTTGGGTCTAGTGAACAAGTGGGCTTGTGGGATACCAAAATGTTGATTGTAATAACCTCTGATGTGGAAATACGAGTGATATTTATTTTTCTCTTTGTGTTCTCTTATATTCTCAGAGTGTATATAGTGAGAAAGTATTGTTTTCATCACTATCATTGTACAAGAAGTCTGTGCACAGCAGTGAAATGGGTACAGTGGATCTGGGGGGACAATAAGGTAGCTGCAGTGTTAATTGTGTTTCTGGCTCGGTTGTGTAACTGAGTATCAGAAAGGGGAGAAGTGGTTTTAATTCAAACAAGACATAGAATAGTAGAATTGGGAACGTCCATGGAAGTCACCCTGTTGGCAGAGGACCCCATCTTCTAGCAGATCCTACCCCAGGACTCCTTTGGGGTTTCGGGTGACAGTGGGCATTTGGGGAGAAGTGCTCAGTCTGCAGCAGGGGTGCCAGGACTAGAGTCCAGAGCCCTGAGGACAGAGGATGAATGGGGGTGGGAGTTGGGGTAAGGGTTTTGGGGGCATTTCAGGGCCCCCCACTGGAAGCCCTCTTCCTCTGGCCATGCCCCATAGAAAAGGCCCCCAGCAAAGAAAGGTGTATTATCACGAGGGACGGGAGGAGATGGCTGTGGGCAGAAAGCAGGGTTCTGTGTGGCCGGGTCAGGGAGGAAGGTCACAGCCGACCCGTGACCATCTTGTTCTGCTCCATGACTCTCAAGTTCTATCCGCCCTAAAATTCTCATCATGATTTTGTTCTTTCTTTGCCAGAGACCACCTGGGAACGCCCCAGCAGTTCTCCTGGGATTTCAGCCAGCCCTGGCCCTCACAGGAGCTCTCTGCCTCCAACAGGTACTGTGCACGCACCCTCTGGTCCCAGGGCCTGATGGCTGGTGTGGACTCTCCTGGACCAGAGCTGGGGAAAGGTCGGGCTGAGAAGGCCCTGGAAACCTGTGACAGGGTTGGTGATGCCCTGGCAGTGCCAGCAGCAGCTCTGGTGGCTTTACACCCTCACCCTCCCAGGTCCTTAGGGCAAAGAAGTGGCAGGATGAGGTGATGTATCAGAGCTTTTCCTTGCGGTGGGACAGAATGCCTCTGTGGGGTTCTTGTAGGCATCAAGGAGTCAAAGATAAATGGAAGGAGATTTTTACAGGACAGTTTTCAAACAGAACATTCTAGGAAGGAAATAGTAGGGTATGAGTTCTCTGTCTTCAGTGGAAGTAGCTGACGTGGACATTTCCATAATAGGTTGGAGGTTTGTCCAGAGGTTTCTTAGGAGACATCTAGTTCTGAGATTTCAGGAGGCAGGATGAAGGACCCACCAGCAGGGAGAACAGCTTCTGATTTCAACCTTTTTTAGGCCTTTTTAGAATGTCACCTCTTCCAGGAAGCCTTCCCTGATTACTGGTTCAGGGCTGTCATCCACTCACTCTGGGTCACAGCTGTGTGCCGCTTTATCAAGCTCAGAGATTTTTTTTCTGCTGGTTGTTACTTTCCTAGCCCACATACTCTCTGAGAGTGGGGTGCGGTCTTTTTCTTTTTCTTTTTCTCTCTCTTTTTTTAAGTGCTGAGCTACATTCTAAGTCCTATTTATTTATTTATTTATTTATGTATCTATTTTGGTACCGGGGATTGAACGCGGGACCTTGTGCTTGCGAGGCAGGCAGCAGAACCACTGAGCTAAATCCCCGGCCCAAAAGCGTTCTTTTTTTTTTTTTGTACGGGGGATTGAACTCAGATCTTCGCGCTTGCGAGGCATGTAGCAGAACCACTGAGCTAAATCCCCGGCCCTATTTATTTATTTTTGAGATAGGATCTTGCTATGTAGTTCAAGAGCTGGCCTCGAACTCATGGCGATCCTCCTGCCTCTGCCTCCCGAGTGCTGGGATTACAGACATGTGCCATCACACCCTGCTGTATGTTTTATATTGAGGTAGGATCTCACTAAGATGCCCAGGCTGGCCTCGAATTTGCAGTCCTTCTGCCTCAGCCTCCCAAGTATCTAGGATTATAAGCATGTGCCACGTGGTGGGTCAACCACATTTGGTGGCTTTTACTTTTAGGAGTTAACATGGCATAGTGGTACATGCCTGTAATCCCAGCACTCTGGGAAGCTGAGGCAGGAGGATTGTGAGTTTGATCGTAGTCTGGGAAATTTAGCAAGACTCTGTCTCAAAAGAAAAAGTTAAGAAAGGGATGGGGAGGTAGCTCAGTGTGAAGGCCTTGGGTTCAATCTTTAATACTGAGATAGATAGATAGATAGATAGACAGACAGACAGACAGACAGACGAACTTGAAGGCAAAAGGTAGCTGGGAATTTAAATGTTAGGAGAGAGTGGTAAAGGGTCTAGTGAAGTGACATCCTCCACTTATGACAGCTATGGAGGGGAAAAGAGAGTCCTCATAAAGTGCTAGGAAAAACCGGGCACGGTGGCACACACCTGTAACCCCAGCGCTCTGGGAGGCCGAGGCAGGAGGATCTCAAGTTCAGGGCCAGCATGGGCAACTTATCAACTCAGTGAGACCCTGTCTCCAAAACAAATTTTTTTAAAGGTCTGAAGATGTAGCTCAGTGCAAAGGCTCTGGATTCAATCTCTAGTACTGTTAAAACAAACAAACAAAAAGTTGTGGGAAGAAAAAATAGAGGTCCAAACCATTTCCCCAAGGCAGCCCAGCTAACCACAGGAAGTACAAGTTAGAAGGGGGGCCAGGGCCTCCCCTCCCGTGATGGGCAGTCTGGGCTTGTGTTCTGCAGATGCACTTGGAAATAAAAGTGTCTGATCCATGTACATCATCCAGGGGTATGAAAGTTGCCAGCAGAACTGAAAACTGGAAATCCATCACTCTGAGGACTCATACAAGGTGTGAAAAGCAAAGACTTGAGTGTTTCCTATTGGAAATTTATACGAAGCAGCTTTATATAAAATAACTTTTTAAAAAGGAGCTTCCTGGTACAGGAGAGGAGTGTGGCACTTGCTGCTGACATCCTAAGGAGACGGGGTGCTGCCTCCTCCCACCCAGTGGGCCCCTGCAGCTGCTGGGTGACAGCAAGCCATTCCAAGCGTACCACCTTCTCTTCCTTTGCTGTCTTTGTGGGCTTTTTAAACAATAGAAATGACAATATGAGTGATGTGAGGTGTGGCCTTATTTCCTGGTGGGGCCAGGCCAGCAGGACACTAAAGAGAAATCCTCAGCTGTCTTTTCCTGCCGGTGTGGTCTGTGTGGGAGGCCAGGACAGCACCATGGCAGAGGGAGGTGGGAGGCTCAGACTGAGGACATGACAGGTGTGACAGCCCCAGTCTGCCACGCTGGCTGGCGGAGCTGGTCAGTGTTGGCCCTTGAGTCACAGGGTCACCTCTCCAAAGCCTGCTCTGCGGGCACATGCACAGGCAGCATTCGGTCCCCTCTTTGTTGTCCTTAGAAGGAGGACTGGGAGGAGCTGGCTCAGACCCTTGCAGAAGCCTGTACTTGACCAACTTCCTCCTTCACCTAACAAGCAAACCAAGAGCTTCCGTGCCCAGCACTGAGCCAGGTCCCAGGCCTTTATGGGAGGCAAAGAAAGGCAAGGAGTTGAGTGACAGGGTCCGATCTGGAGGCAGCATCACCAGGGTGGCCCAGGCTGGCCTGAGTGTGTAGACAGGGACTGGACCCCCAACCTGCACCTTACGGGCCTAGGGCGGTGTTTCCCAAGGCAAAGTTCACAGAACCTGAGGCCCATCAAGTACTCTAGGAAGGGGGTTTTGCCGTCAGACACAGCTTCCCTTGCTCTGCACCAGTGCGCTCATCCACATCCTGTAGGCTCCAAGAAGGCCTAGGATGAATCAGAACATTTACATCAGAGCCTCTGCCATGGGTTAGTTTGTTAACAACATACCACATACTTGCTAAGTGTCCCCCATCTTAACTCTGGGGAGATCTTGCTTCCAGAGGACATTTGGCAATGTCTGGAGACATCTTTGACTGTCACTATTGAAGGGAGGCACCTGCTGCTACATGTCCCACAATGCATGGGACAGGCCCCAGACAAAGACTGATCAGCCTACATGATAATAGTATGGAGGTTAGGAAGTTCTGCCCTCCGGTGACTCAGGACATCAGTTCAGTGCAGCTCAGGCATCCTTGGGCCATGGGCCAATAAAGCAGGAAGTGACAGCATGTGACAGGAATAACCTGTCATTGAATCTGAGACCCAGCTTCTAACCCCTCTCCAAACATACATGTTTTAGTATCTGGGACATCACACATATCAAGAATCAGTAGTGTATTCTAATTGAATTGGAAGCATTTTTCTTTCCATCTCAGTGGGACATAATCTCCAGGTATCTTTAACTAACAATCAGTGGGATTTTAGATTTGTGAGGTTATAACTTGTTAAACTGGGGCCTCGGGCCTGTTGATTCTCTCTGTTAGCCATTAGTTTCCCAGTTGGTAACTTGAGGGCCTGCAGGAGGATGGAGCAGCCTTACTTCCTGACACTTGGTGCTTTCTCCCTGCAACATGCAGACATCTCAGCATCCATCCACCCTCTGGGATGGAAGGGAAGAGAACCCACCATTCATATTAACAGGATCCAGGATGAACCTAAGTTTAACTGCAGAATAAAAGAGTGGCCACATTGGTAATTTCTCTCTATAGAGGAGCATGCATTTTCTCCTGTTTTTTCTCATTCAGTTTCACAAACGGCTTTCAAGGGGTTAAATTTTATTATGGGCAGAGGCACAGAGACAGTAAAGAGATGGGTTTGCTTCAAAACTCAGCTCCCTGCACTTGGGTTCCTGGGACTGTGGACTCTTTTAGAGACTCCTTGGGCCCCTGATCTCAGCCTCATTTACTTTGTTCATTTCTGCAGAAGCCACAGTACTGGAGTGTGAACCCTTCTCATTCTAAAGTATGCCAGCTGCTATTCTTGATAATGGGGCTGTAGCCCTGGACAAAACAAACACACTGGTGCCTGCTCCCCAGGAACCTGCAGTGTAGGGGGGAGTTGGACAAAGCACCCAGGAAATAGGTCAGATATTGTTTACTTGTTCTAATGCAAAGAATAAAAGTGTGACAGTGTGACAGAGAGTGACTGGGAGTCAGGGAAGGCCTCAGCGAGGAAGTGACATTTAGACAAGAATTTAAGGAGAGCGACAAGGGGTCTGTGTGTGTGTGTGTGTGTGTGTGTGTGTGTGTGTGTGTGTAGGCATTGTGGTTCTAGGCTGTGAGACAGCTACTACAAAGGCGGAATAACTTCGCGGATTTGAGAACAGAGAGCAAATCTGTCTGGAGGGGAGGGGACAAGCTGGGAAGTGATATGAGGTGAGGGAGGGGAGTGTACCCTGTCAGCTAAGCCAGAGGAAGGTGTGGGATTTCCTTCTGAGTGTGATGGTTGGGGAGGGCTAGACAGGCAACACAGTGGAGGTGTGCTGTCTTCCTAGGAAGCCACCAGGCTGCACCTGGCTCTGTCAAGAGACTGTTCTTGATTGGCAGGGATAGGTGCATTACCTGCAAATGGGGGTAGTGAGGGGAATGTGGAAAACCCAGCTCCCTTTCCGGACCACAGACATCCCTCTAGGATGCTGATGAGGGGGTCAGGGAGAGTGTCGGGGGGACCACAGATAAACCCAGCCAAAGCAGCTCAGGCAGCCTCTCTCCTGGGTAAGAAGGGGTAAGAAAGCCACAAGGCTCAGCTTTACTTCTGTACTGGAGCTTCAGTGGGCTGGCTGTGTCAGCTTTGCCTCCTTAATATCCCCAGGGTTACAGAGCTGTGCTGATTCAGTAGCTGTCCTAGCGCTGTCTACTGCCGGGCTTTCTGAATGAGAAATAGTTTAAACCACAACACAAGTCCTGAGATGCTTTCAAAAACTGCT